GCTTTCCTGGAACCCGCTACGGTAGACGTGGGGGAGGATCCTGACCACCACTTACCTTGGGAGTCCTCGGGAGGCTTGAACAGAGCCTTGGCCTCATCCACGCTGCCTTCAATCGCCACAGACAACGTCTTATCTAGGAGCAAGAAACAGCTTCCTGTGAAAGCTGCTGAGAGATGGAGCTAAGTTACATGAGCAGGCCCGCCCTGGGGCTGCACTTCCTCTGCCTCTGTCACAGCTTCTTACTGACCGGGGCTGGAGGGCCAAAGATGAAGAGGAGCAAGGTGGGAAACCTAAGTCTTTTTCCCAGATGAAGAGGAGCAAGGTGGGAAACCTAAGTCTTTTTCCCATCATTTACTGAAAACAAGGAACCCAAAATGCAGATTCCTGGCCAAGCATCACCTGAAACTAGGGGTGAATGCCTCTCTTTTCAGGCTTACACCAAGGCACAGAAATCCAAATCAATGGCCTAAAGCCACACGGCACAATTCTACCAACTGTCTTAAAGGTTCTCATCCAGAACCTGTAACTGTCCACATTCTGGAAACGACAGCTCTCCCCTCAGTTCTTATTCTCTGTTCTGCACTACACCTAGCACCTGGCACCTGCCTGATACCGCAACATTTAACTGGGAGGCAGCAGGACAGTGGGTAGGAACCTGGAACCTGCAGTCCAGTCCCGGCCTGAGTCTCTGCTCAACCAACTCCCAAACTTACAACTTGGAAAGTTATGTCACTGCTCTGAGCCTCAGTTTCTGCACCTATGAAACAGGGACTTGACAAATGGTGGCTGCCCAGTTGGGTTAGGAGGACTGAATTTTAATTATAAAATTACTTTAAAAAATTAATTTTCAATCCTCACAGCAATCCTGTAGGAGCAATACTATTACTCTAGCCATTTATAGATGAGAAAATTAAGGCTCAAGGAAGTTAGATACAATAGCCAAGAGGTAAATAAGCTAGGATTCAAGACCAAGTCTATTCAACTTGAGCTTGGTATCTCAAACACAAAGCTAAGTGGCCTGCTCCCTGCACCAGGCCTGACACCTCAATGAGCAATGCCTGGGCCTGCCTCTGTGCAACTCCGTGGGTCTAGCGCTGAGAGATCAGATAGGCCATCACCCTTCCTTCTCCATTCAAAAGGGTATACAGAGACGCAAATAGTCACAGGAGCCTGAAAGGGTTTGTTCAAGTGCATAAAGAGGGATGACAAACTTCCCCCAAGTGGCGGGCCCTTGGGATATTCCTAAGTGGCTGACCACTGCTTATCTCTGACAACCCTCATGAACCATCATACCTCATCCCAAACAAGCTGGCTGCCCCCATTAACACTGGCAAATGCTAGACTGTTCTTTTGACTAGTTTATTCCTGGAATTCTACAGTAAAATGGGAATGGAAACAGGCTGTGTTTTAAACACAAAAGAAAATTACTCACCCTGTCTAGGGGGCTGGGAGGATTTCATATGAGCTGATGATGAAAATAGGAGGGAGAAGAAAGGGGAGGGAGAGGATCAGAAGGACCAGGAAGACACAAGAAGAGAGACAGAAATGTGTTGATGCCCATGGCTGGGAGGAGAGGCATGCACTGGCGCAATGTGTGTCTGTCTGATGCAGTGGGGTGGGCGTAGGGAAGAAAAATTTAGGTGCTAGGTGAAAGCTTGCAATAGGGCAAAAGGTAGGATCTCTAAAAGCTTCTCAAAATCCTAGTGGAGTCATGGGCTGCCTTCAAGCTTAATGAGGACACCTCCTCTCCTTCCGTAATTCACTGTTATGACATGCAGCCTGTTCCAGGGCTTGGTGAAAGCCTGAGACAGCTGGCTGGGACCTGTGTTCACCAAACCCTCTCTGTGAAGAGAGCAGGAGGCACTGATCCACCTGCCAAGTGTGCCTTGATGGGGTGAGTGCTTGGGAGGCCAGATAGGCTGCCTGGGCACTGAACACAATAGCCGACCAGTCAGGCTCATCAAAGATTCAAAGCCATCCATTCTGAAATTCCCATCAGGTTAGTCCAGCCTCAGGCCAGCTGGTCAAAATAGCCATGCCAGGCAGTGCAGAGGGGAGGCAGCATCTATCACCTGAGGGCTTCTGAGTAGGGCCAGGGAGCTTTCCTCAGCAGGAGGTGCTTCCAAATGACTCAACTGGCCACAGCTGCTGCTCCCACAGCCCCTCCCTGCCCAGCCCCCATACTCACCACAGGCTTGCCCATACGCAGTGGCCTGGACAAAGAGGACATACAGGGGAGGTGGTAGGTGTCGGGCTGTCTCATACTGCTTGTGAGCTTGGTCGAAGGGCATAAACAGATACTCCTGCACCGGTAGGGAAGCCTGCGAGTAAGGAAGAAGGGATTTTGTTTTTCTTTTACAGGCACACACAGGAACATGTGGCTTCTTAGTAACTTAGTATACAGTTTTTTATTTATCCAAGTGATAGCAGCAATAAACAGTAAGAAAATGAACTTTAAAAAAAGATACCATTTCACCTAGCATCAAGAAAACATCAAATACCTAAATGTCAAAAGTGTGTCAACCTCTACACAAACACCTGAGAAATGAAAGATCTAAATGAATGGAGATATATGCCAGGTTAATGGCCTCCAAGGCTTAATACTGCCCAGATGTCAATTCTCCCCTAAGTATCTATGGATTCAATGCAATCCAATCTAAATCCCAGCAGATGAAAATAGACTAGCTGATTCTAAAACTTATATGTAAATAAAAGAGGCCAAGAATAACAAAGATAATCCTGAAAAATTAAGTTGGAGGACTTACATTATTGAGCATCAAGACTTCTGATACAGCTAGAGTAATAAGTCAGTGTGATATTGGTGCAGAGACAACTAGATCACGCACACACAAACCCAAACCTATACAGATATCTGATTTATGACAAAAATGGCACTGCAGAACAGTGGGGGAAAGAATGGTCTTTTCAATAAATGAATCAGCTGAATACCTATGTGGGGAAAGAATCTGACCTTCACCTCACACTATGTACAAAATTCACTTCCGGGAAGACTATAGATTTGAATGTGGAAGGTTAAACAATAGGGCTCTATAAGAAAATACAAGAGTATTTCCATGACCTTGGGACAGAGAAAGGAAAAGACTGATAACTAGATCATATTAAAATTAAGAACATCTGCTCATTAAAGGATACTATTATGAAAGTGAAAAGGAAAGATATCTGCAGAAGACTCATCTCCAGAAAATATAAAGAATTCCGGGCAACCCAACAGAAAAATGAGCAAAAGACTTTAACAGGCCCTTCACAAATGAGGTACTCCAAAAGCCAGTTAGTATATAAAATGTGCTGTGCTCAACGTCACTGGTCCCCAGGGAAATGGAAATTTAAACCATAAAAGATACCCTCCAGAATGGCTATAATCAAGAAAAATGACAACATCAAGAGTTGACAAGGATGTGGAAAATTAGAACTTTCACATGGTGATGGTGGGAATTTCAAAAATCAGTACAATCACTTTAGAAAATTGTTTCACCGAATACCAAACCTAAATATACGCATAGCATACTATGATCCAACAATTTCATTCCTGGGTATATATTCAAAAGAAATGTGTACACATGTACACCAAAGGACATGTGTAAGAAGGCTCCTAGTGGCATTATTCACAACAGCCCCAAACTGGAAACACCCCAAATCAAACACTAAACATCAATGAGAATAAATGAACTCCTGGTACTCACAACAACCTAGATAAATTTCACAAACAAACTGTTGAATCAAAGAAGCCAGACACAGGGCTTCCCTGGTGGCGCAGTGGTTGATAGTCAGCCTGCCAATGCAGAGGACACGGGTTCGTGCCCTGGTCTGGGAAGATCCCACATGCCGCGGAGCGGCTGGGCCTGTGAGCCATGGCTGCTGAGCCTGCGCGTCTGGAGCCTGTGCTCCGCAACGGGAGTGGCCACAACAGTGAGAGACCTGCGTACCGCAAAAAAAAAAAAAAAAAAAAAAAAAAACCAAACACAAAACCAAAGATAGTCATCAGATCACAAGAGAAAAGAACAAGAGGAAAAGAAGAAAAAAAACCTACAAAAACA